TCCTGCCTCAGGGTTATAACTGGGCTTCTACTTGCTATATTTGGACACTCCTGTCTAAATTCTTCAACCTTCTGCTAAGTCCAAAGACAAGTTAGGAAACACTTCTCTAGCTTTCCACAACAAGTATTTGTTTTGGTTTGGTTTTGAGACAGGGTCTCATGTAGCCCAGGCCAGCCTTGTACTCTCAATCATCTTGCTTCCGCCTCTCAAATGCTGGGATTACAGGAAAGCATCACATCCAGTAACGACTATATATTCCCATATTTAAATTCCAGACCCTAAGCTGCATAAAGGCAAGAAATGTACTTGTTGAAGGTTAAATTCTTAGAGCCTAGTAATGGGCTAGTACATTGAACATTCCTTTAATATTTGTCAAATATAAAATTTAATTTCTTGCTTAGGAAAAAAAATTGCTTGGCTCGTCAACTTCTTATTTTCACAGTAAAAATGTAGGTTTGAAAGGGAGCTTAGGGACCATTTATCTAACCCCTTCATTTTTCATTTGGGAAACTGAAGTCCAATGGGAGATGATGTAACCCGCCACAAGTAACATGTAACAAAAGAGGAGTTTGCATGAACAGGCTGTTTCCCTCAGCTCAGGGGCTTCGGGGCCCGGACTCTTCATTCTGTCACCAGTTACACAGAGCTTACTGAATGTGAGGACAGAGCTGTGAAATGTGCTAAGAACCTCTTCTATTTTAACGTTTTTGTTTGCTTGTTGGTTTTGCATGTGTGTGTGGTGTGCTTGCATGTATGTGGGCAGATGTGTGTGCAGGTCCGTATGTGCATACATGCACCTGGAGCCTCGAAGTTGACTTCAAGAACCTTCCTCAACTGCTCTCCACTTTTCTTTGTTGAGACAGGGTCTCTTGCTGAACTCAGCTAAGTTCTAGCTGGCCGGCTTGCCCCCGGGCTCCTGTGTCCCCGCTTCTGTAAATGTGGGAGCACAGGCAGCTGACAGGCCTGCCCTGCTTTTTACATGGGTTCTGAGGAACAAAACTTTGTACACTTCATTCACCAGCCATCTCCCCAGGCCAAAGTATTATTAACACAAACCTGAGTTAATGTTTCTTCCTGTTTTTCCTTTGGCTGGACTGGGGACTGAACCAAGGGCCTCATGCATGCAAGGCAAGCCCTCTACCATTGAGCTAAAGCCTCAGAACCAAAGGGCTGCCCTGAAGAGAGCTCTACAAAGTCTTTTCTTGCAAGTTCTTGGTGCATCTTTTAACTGAGTCCTTCATCCTTAAATTAGCAATGTTCCAAACCTTTACTCCTGCCTGGGACCATCAGCCTGCACTGGACCCCTTACCATACTAAAGATATTCCTCTGGCTCCTACCTGCCTTCTGGCTGCCCGGTGTTCAGGAGCTGCTGTGGCTACACATGGCACATAGGGCCTTTCTCTCCAGAACTGCTTGGGAGAAACTCTAGGTATGTAGCAGAAGGGCAGCTGTCCCGAAGGAAACATGCCTACTGTACTGCACACCGAGGAGAGGGGAGCTCAGGAACAAGCGCAAAGAACTACCTTAAACCAACCCCATGGCACGAGTTACCACCCACCCAAGCCCTAACTTCCTACTTTACTTACATTGGCTCTTTAAACATCTAGAAAAGAAATTAAACCGAAGGGAACTCCAACTGTAACTTAAACACAAAGAATTGTGGCATTAAAACCAACAATGGAAACAAACAACTTACAGGGATATGTGGCAGTGTAATTGTGACTTCATCTCCTTTGCCAACCTGGAGCTCTCCTTCACAGGAGGTATCTATCGATGCTGGCTTAAAATCATCTAAAAGGGAAGAAAGAACATTTCCCAATGGGTGACTAAAAAGAAGGACTTCCTGGGCACTTATTTTCAGAATTAAAAATTGTATTACATAAATAAAAATGGATGAGGATTCTTTCATGTATGTGTGTTCCTGTATGTACATGGGTACATGTGTACATGTGTGCATATATTTGCAGCACCTTAGACAGTCTCTCAGATACTGTTAGTCTTGTTTTGTTGTTGTTGTTTTGTTTTTCAAGACAGGGTTTCTCTGTGTAACAGTCCTGGCTGTCCTGGAACTCACTTTGTAGACCAGGCTGGCCTCAAACTCATAGAGATCCACCTGCCTCTGCCTCCAGAGTGCTGGGATTAAAGGCCTGCGCCACCACCACCCAGCTCATCTTGTTTTTTGAGACAGGGTCTCTCATTAGCCTGGAGCTCACTGACCAGTGAAGCCAGCTGGCCAGTGAGTTCCCAGTGATCCTCCTGTCTCAGTATCCCCAGCACTGGGATTACAACAGTTTACTACCACACTGTGGCACTTTTATTATTCTAGAAATTCAGATCAGATAATCATGCTTTCATGGCAACGATTTCACAAATGGAGCCAACTCTCCAGCCCCATCATTTAAAATTCTAAAGAAAAAAAGAAAATACTTCATAGAAAACTTCATATATGCTAAAGTAGAAAGAACAGTGCAATGAGCCCCAAATAACCTCATTCAATTCAATAATTACCAACTCAGGAACACCTCTACATATGGTACCTTCAACTACACTATTATTTTAGTGCAGGAAGCTGGGACTCATACACCATTATGTTAATATTCCAAGTGATAGGTAACAGTTAACATCCATCATCCATGATAAGGCAATTATTAGAACTGTGTGCATAGAAGCAACAGAGCAAACATCCTGACGCTAAATCTGCATGAGACTCAGCAGGGCACGTGAGGCTGATTTCTTTTTACACAGAAACGTTCAAAAGTAGAACCTGCCACACTCAAGTTCTTTCATTTTGAAGAAGATACTTCTGGAGGTGTTTTGTTTTGTTTTGTTTTTTCAAGACAGGGTTTCTCTGTGTAGTTTTGGTGCCTGTCCTGGAGCTCACTCTGTAGCCCAGGCTGGCCTTGAACTCACAGAGATCCTCCTGGCTGTGCCTCCCAAGTGCTGGGATTAAACGCGTGCGCCGCCACCACCACCTAAGAAGATACTTCTGGATATGTTCAAAAGCAAACAGGGGAACTCCAGAAATTATCATGCTTATTCTTACAAATTATACAATCAGAAGAGCCATTTTATTTCGTATTAACACACACCTGCCTCAAACTGCAAGCTAGGTACACATGTGCAGAATCTCACTTAAAACCCATACTGCCCTTCAATGAAGGGGGGCAGGGAAAGGTAAGTCTTATCATTTCCCCAATATTGTCTCATTGAAACAGCTGGATCTGCTGTCAGTGGGAAGCACAGAAACGGCATGATGATGGCCACACAAGATGAGACTTTAATGTCTAACACACCCCCTTCCTGAGTGTTGAGTCACATCTATTAGCTGCCATGACAAAGCATGTCTTAACCAGTGTTAATGCTACCGGAAACCAGAAGCCTGTGAATCACAGAGGGATGTGCTCAGTCAGCCAAATCTTTACTCAGGACACACAGTGGAAGTACCCCTTTCAGAGTCTATAATCATGTAGAAAAAGGCCAGCATAATGACTGTTTCCACATTCCTTAAGCTGCTGTCTTCATTTTCCAAACATAGATCAAGGTTTAACTTATGCCAGGTTCACAAACTTTTTTTTTTTTTTTTTTTTGGTTTTTCGAGACAAGGTTTCTCTGCGTTGTTTTGGTGCCTGTCCTGGCTTTCACTCTGTAGACCAGGCTGGCCTCGAACTCACAGAGATTGGCCTGGCTCTGCCTCCCAAGTGCTGGGATTAAAGGTGGGCACCACCGCCAACTAATTTTATTCTTCACCACAAGTCAGAGTGGTGGAGGTGATCGAAAGGCATTAATGTCAACTACGTATGGTGGGTCAGGCCCATAATTTCAGCACTACAGAAACCACCGAGGCAGGACTGCAGCACGTTCAGGGCTGGCCTGAGCTTTATAGTGAGTTCTAGGGCAGCATAACCTACAGTAAGACAGTCTCAAACAACAACAAAATCAGTGTCCAAAGAAGCATGGGAGGAGGAAGAGAAAACCCCATGGGTGATACAAAGAATGCAGATTCCCAGCCGGGCGGTGGTGGCGCACGCCTTTAATCCCAGCACTCGGGAGGCAGAGGCAGGTGGATCTCTGTGAGTTCGAGGCCAGCCTGGTCTACAAAGTGAGTTCCAGGAAAGGCGCAAAACTACAGAGAAACCCTGTCTCGAAAAAAAAAAAAAAAAAAGAATGCAGATTCCCTAGATGTGGAGGGGACCAAGAGCCCTAAGAGGAAAGGAAAGCAAGGAAGAAAATGGAGCAGACTGAGTAAATGACGCTCGTGGCAAACGAGAAGTCTTCCAAAGCGTGAGCCCTGACGGAATAATTCGACAAAGGGGGACTCAAGGGAGGAGAAAGGGGCCTCGCTCCGAAGGAGGAAAGTCTGGCGAAAGGGCTGGGAAGGGGGATTTTAATTAAAGGGCCCATGACTTTCTGAACTGGTATTTGAGACTGTAAGGTAAAAGAATAGTTAGTTGACAGCAGCCAGAAGTTTGGTTTGAGAAGCGCGACCTGAAAATAAAAGAACAGATAGAAGTCCCAGAGGCTCTGGGGTGAGAGATAAGGAAAGTGACGCTTTGGAGAGCCCAGGTCGGACAGGAGGGCGTCGGGGCTGGCACGTGGCGGCCAGAGAGGCCGAAGCGAACCGCGGGGAGCGCTCACTCACAGCGAATAGTGTGGAAGGAGGTCCGCGGCCGTTTCTCGAAGCTCTCCCCTAGCCTCAGGCAGTGTTCCTCTCGATCCAGCAGCGGGTTCGCCGTGCCGTTCATGGCCTTGCACCTGCCTGGCACCCAGATCGGCGCTCTCCTGGCGCGGCCGCAGTCCCGGAACCCCGCGCAAGCGGCCCGCAGGACCGCGCTCCCGGGACACAGCTCCGGAGCGCGCACCGAGCCAAGTCCGCGCCCACCCGGGGCCGGAAACCAGTCTCCACTGCGTCTAGAAAGACTCTGAGGAAGTAAGGCCGCTGCGCTTCCGGCATTGGGGAGGGACTTCCGGTTTCCCAGCGGAAATAGCGGGGGAAGTGCCATGGAGGGAGAATTCCTCGAGAGAACCTCTATGGACAGTTCTGGGCAATATCTGGTTTAGTCTCAGGAGGTTTACACGTCAGTTGGAAGATTCTACCCCTGAGAGCTTGACCGACAGGTGAGTGCGCCCTGACCTGTCCTTTGCTGGCAACCCTGCGAACCGATAGTCGGGAGCCCCGAGCGTGGGAACGCAGTGAATGCGAATCTGAGCGTTGATACCGACGGCCGGAGACATGCCCGAGACCCTGGCGGCCTAGTTTATCCTGAGGGTCCTGAGAGAGATGACGGATCTCGGGAACTCAGCGACCCGTCACTCCGCCCTTCCTACTTGGCTCCACGGTTGCGGCGTGAGGGTTTCATTCAGTTCTTGGCCGGCGACGCTTCCTTTAGTTGGTGCTGTAGCCTTTTGTGGGGTACGATCAGAAACTCTGGCCTCCTCGGATTAGCTCCATCACCTCCGAAAACATGAAGCTACGGTCCCAACGAACGTGACTACTCTTTTGTCTGGCAGTCGTCTACCCGCTTTCAGTTCGGGCTGTTGTTGTTTTGAAGTCCCATTTTCCGCGGGCACTGACCATTGATGAGAATTTTTTTCTCACATTTTCTCTGTCAATTCCTGGAAGCGTCCCTTCGTCCTAACTAAATCTATGTCTTGTGACACTTGGCTCATCTGGTTTGAATTGGAGTCCGCTACATGAGAGTTCTGGTCTCTGAATGTAGTAAGCTTTGTGCAGTAGACTGTCTTGGTCTTTGTGACCTCTCCCACCCCCGGCAGGGTGTTGGGTAGAGTCAGCATCTGGTGAGTGTTTGGTGAATTGACCCCAGCGCCTTAAAGAGCTAGTCAGGAACCTCTCCCCCAGAGTCTTGGACTACTTTAGAACCCAAACTCTAGAAGTCCTAAAGAACGCTCTAGCTCGGTGAGTCGGTATAGCCACATTCACAGCACTTGGAAGGCTGAGGCAGGAGGATATACGTTCAAGGGACAGCCTGGGCTACTTCCATACGGGATTCAAGGGCAACTTTACATAACTAGACCCTGGCTAACAGAAAAACAGGATGGGGAGGGGAGCGAGCAGGCTATTACAGAATCACTAACCAGAATCTCCTTTTCCTAAGTAGCATCGTTGGCTGCGGAAGCTTGAAAATCACCTGGGGAAAATGCACCAGAGAAAATCCAGTGTGTGCAGGGTCAGCACGGATTGTTCAGCTGGTCAAAGACCAGAGAATCTTTAGCGGCGTTGAATGTGTTACCAGCAACTGCAATGGCTTCTTCCCAAAGGAAAGGACTGCAAGCAAGGGTGCTTAGCTCTGAAGAGGAGGAGAAATTGCAGAGAGACCAAGCTTTGGTGTCTGACTTTAAACAGCAAAAACTGGAAAAAGAGGCTCAGAAGAACTGGGACCTCTTCTACAAAAGAAACAGTACCAATTTTTTCAAGGACAGACACTGGACCACCAGAGAGTTTGAGGAGCTAAGATCATGTAGGGAGGTAGGCTGGGCTACCTTTATTTGCAATGTGTAGAGGAGAGGTCCTTTATTACATGTAGAGTGTGCTCCCAGCTGAGAACCTTGGGTGTCATTTGTCAGGAGCTGTCTACCTTTTTTTGTTGTTGTTGGTGGTGGTGGGTTTTTTTGTTATTTTTTTTTGGTTTTCCAAGACAGGGTTTCTCTGTGTAGTTTTGGTGCCTGTCCTGGATCTCACTCTGTAGACCAGGCTGGCCTCGAACTCACAGAGATCCGCCTGGCTCCCGAGTGCTGGGATTAAATGTGCGCCACCACCTCCTGGCCTACCTTGTTTTTTGAAACAGGGTCTCTCACTGGGACCTGGGACACACAGATTAGCTTGGGCTAGATGGCAGTACACCCCAGGGAGCCTTCTTAGCACAGAGATCCAAGCATACTTCACCAAGACCAGCTTTTTATATGAGTGCCCGGGGTTGAACTCAGGCCCTTGTAGTTGTACGACAGGACTTTACCGACTGAACTAACAAAAATTTATGACGCCTGTCAAAATGTACCTAAGGAGAGTTCTGTTTGGTTTCAAGTAATTTTAGCAATTTCTGGACTGTTTAATAGAAAGAACTTTTAGGTTTTCTTTTTAGATTTATTTATTTTATTATCTTATGTGTATGAGTGTTTTGCCTGCATGTATGTCTGCACCACATGCATGTCTGTTGCCTGTGGAGGTCAGAAGAGGGCACCAGATCCACTGGAACTGGAATTACAGACAGTTTGTAAGTTGCCATGTGGATGCAGGCAATCGAACCCAGGTCCTCTGGAAGAGCAGCACGTGCTCTTAACCACAGAGCCATCTCTCTAGCCCCTTAATGTTGTTTTCTACTTACTTAAAGCTAATCTGAAGGTTAGAAATATTAAATATTCAGAGTAAACTTTAGTGATAGATTGAAGCTACTTTTAGTAGTTAATGAACTATTCACTATAACCCTTTTCTAAGAATTTTACATATGTTCTCCTTGTTAGGCTTCATAGCAACTCTATGAAGTCATTTTCAGGAAAAATGGAGGCACAGAGCTGTAGAAATGAGTTGCCCAAGGATAGAATACAGGGGCAAAAGGAGTTGGGATTTGAGGCAGGAGGTTAACCCCAGGGTGTCTACACTGTACTAATGGCTGGTTTATTTTTTGCTGATGTTCTTAATACTAAACTGCCCGGTGTTGGGTAGTTATAAATGAGGTACCAGTGTTAGCTTTTCCTTACTAGTTCTGTTGTCTGTTATCAGCTTCATGAGGTTAGAGATGTTGTCTCTTGCATGCTAAACCTTTTAGCTTGGTGTGTTTCTTCATTATGCAAAAGTAATGTACTGTAACTTTTGTGTTCTCATTCCTTAGTATGAAGGTCAAAAATTGACTTTGTTGGAAGCTGGATGTGGGGTTGGGAACTGTTTATTCCCACTTTTAGAAGAAGATTTGAATATCTTTGCCTATGCCTGTGATTTTTCTCCAAGGGCAGTTGACTACGTTAAGGTTGGTGCACCATATTCTGCTCTTTTTGATTCCTTAGACCATTTGTCTAATTCCAGTCCTCTTCTAGGAGCTTACCTGCTGTGGTCACCATGTATGTCATTTTCTTTTGAATGTACATATGAAAACATTTTGATTCAAAGCAAAGCAAGAAGAATACTGAGCAGTGCCTCTGTGCTTCATTCATATCATTTACTCTATAGGTTTGTTTCTGATTATTTGTGTTTATAAATCAGGTTCATGTGACCAGTGTTGTGCATATGCTTCTCAAAACTCACATGCACAGTACTCTGTGATGACTAATGGAGGGAATGAAATCCCTTAGAAGAGTGTGAAAATTTCATAGATAATACCACTTTCCTTTCAAAAGAAGATTATGCCAATAGATGTGTATATATTTTTTGCGGGGAGGGATGGTGGTTTTGAGACTGAGTTTCTCTTTGTAGCTCTGACTGTCCTGGAACTCACTCTGTAGACCAGGCTGGCCTCAAACTCAGAGGTCCTCCTGCCTCTGATGGGATTAAAGGTGTGCACTACCACCACTGCCCGGCTGCCAATTTATAATATTACCAGTAATATAAAGGCACTCTTTCCTGTTTCCTCAATATTTTTTGTTTCTGCCAATCTTTGAGGAAAAAAAGTCTCTGTTTTTTTGTTTCTCATTACCAGAGATATTGCAGACTGAAATATGTAAAAACACATACATTTTCTTCCGCCATGAGCTCCTTTCTCCTACATGTGTTTATTGAGAGCTTACTATATTCCAGTTGCTGTCCTAAGCGCTGGGGGTAAGCAGTGAACAAGAGGCAAAGTCCTCACCTGTGCAGAACTTACATCACAGTAAGAATTATCTGTTCATAACTGTTGCCTATTTTTCTGTTGACTTGTCATTTCTTACTTTTAGAATATATAGAATGTTATGATACATATATTGCAAGCATCTCTTTTTGCCCATTCAACATTATTAATGGTAGCCTTTTCCTAACACAGGATTTAATTATGTCTTTTTTTTTTATATATAGCCCAGGCCAAGGCAGGTGAAACTGTTGATCCTCCTGCCATAGCCTCCCAAGTGCTGGGATTACAAGTGTGTGCCACCATACTTGGCAGTTATCAACTCTATTAACCTTCTGCTTTTTGAGGTAATAAGGTTTTATGTGTAAGAATTCTTTATTCCTGCCATTTAGATAATTGTTTATTGTTTTGTTATTTTTTTATTTATTTTTTATTTTTTTTGGTTTTTTCGAGACAGGGTTTCTCTGTGTAGTTTTGCGCCTTTTCCTGGAACTCACTTGGTAGCCCAGGCTGGCCTCGAACTCACAGAGATCCGCCTGGCTCTGCCTCCCGAGTGCTGGGATTAAAGGCATGTGCCACCACCGCCCGGCTGTTTTGTTATGTTTTCTAATCTGGAAAAAATCTGGTCATACTTCAGTTAATTTCTTGAGTTCTTATTCTTTGTTCTCCCTCTAGGGAATTCAGTTACAAGTACTTTATGCCATTGGCTGCTCCCACCATACACTTTCACACACACACACACACACACACACACACACACACACACACACACACTCTGTTAAATGTGGGGTTCCCTCTTTTAATTTTGTTTTCATTTTTAATTCATATTATTTCTATTGTCCTGTCATCAAGTTCACTGTTTCTAAGAGAGCTAGTCCTCCAATAAACTTATTTGAAAATGATTTATTTCTGTTATGAATTTATTTATTTTATTTCATAATTTTTTTTATTTTGGGCACTTAAATTTTAGTCTTTATAATTTCCATCCCTCACATTACCTATCTTACTTTTCATGTTATCTGTCTATAACATTTTAATGTTTATAACATTTTAATGTTCTTTAGATTTTTTTAAGATCTATTTTTATATTAAATTATGTGTAGTGTGTATATTTTTGCATGTGGGTATGTGCAAGGTGTGTCAGATCCCCTGTAGCTGGAGATATTGGTAGTTATGATCTGCCATTGTGGTTAGTGGGAGTTGAACCAGGGTCCTCTGGAAGACAGCATGCGTTCTTTACCGCTGAACCATCTCTCCAGCCTGTGGATTCAGTGCCCTCTGGCCTCTGAGGGCACCTGTATGCACATGTACATACATAAACATAAATAAAATGAATCTTTTTTAATACTAAATATTCCCACCCAGTAGCCTTGTATATTAATTTATTGAGGTCCCTGTTTACACGATTAAATAAAGCTTATTCTCCTCCTCTATAATACTCATACTGGAGCCTACCAACCAACCAAAATGCTCCAGGAGTAAGTACACTTGTTAGAAAGAAAGGTAGATTAGGATCTTAAATCTTTTATCTCTAGAAAAATCAGCCACATAAGAACTATGGGGGCATCCCAGTAGGGCGAAGTGGAAGAACTTCTCATAGAGTCTAGGCTTGTCGGGGATAGCCAAAGGAGGGTTAGGAAGCAGCTGCCGACTTTGTATTATCCTTTTGGAGGAACAGGCCTCTGAAATGCTTGGTTTTAAATAAGTGGTAGACTATATTCTGCCCTCAGTTAAAAATCATTTGCTGAAATGCTGCCTTGCTCCCTGTAGCAGTATTGAATATACTTCCCCAGTAACAAGTGACCATTCTATGTTGTAGAAAGTTATTTTAAGGTGTGTTACTTTTGTTTATATTACATTTGTTTAACTCTGTGAAACTGTGTTACTGCGTCTGTCTAAAACACCTGATAATCTAATAAAGAACTGAACAGCCAATAGCAAGGCAGGAGAAAGGATAGGCAGGGCTGGCAGGCAGAGAGAATATATAGAGGGAGAAAACTGGGAGGAGAGAGCTAGGAGCCGGAGAAGAAGGAAGACATCAGGGGCCAGCCACACAGCAAGCCATGGAGTAAGAGTAAGATTTTTACAGAAGTAAGAGAAAGGGAAAAGCCCAGAGGCAAGGTAGATGGGATAATTTAATTTAAAGTTAAAGCTGGCAAAAAAACAAGCCATGCTAAGGTTGGGCATTTATAATTAAGAATAAGCCTGTGTGTGATTTATCTGGGAGCTGGGTGGCAGCCCCCGCTAAAGGTAACAAGAGCAAAAAACAATTATATGTAGCCGTAAACAAGTAGAAACGGGATCTTTCTTCAGTGCTGCATGTTCATACATGAATCAGCAGGGTAGTTAATTAAAATCCTAAGTTCTTTCTGGTTTTCCCCTTTCTAGCAAAATCCTTTATATAACACAGAGAGATGTAAAGTATTCCAGTGTGACCTCACTAGAGATGACCTCCTTGACCATATCCCACCAGAGTCTGTGGATGCTGTCACATTGATCTTTGTGCTCTCAGCTGTTCACCCTGAGAAGATGCACCTTGTCTTACTAAATGTGTACAAGGTTAGTGATTTGGCCAGCTGGGCGGTGGTGGTGCACGCCTTTAATCCCAGCACTCGGGAGGCAGAGCCAGGTGGATCTCTGTGAGTTCGAGGCCAGCCTGGTCTACAGAGTGGGTTCCAGGACAGGTACCAAAGCTATACAGAGAAACCCTGTCTCGGAAAAATAAAAATAGAAAAAAAAGAAAAAAAGGTTAGTGATTTGATGTCTGTGCTTGAGGATTGGCCCCTCAGGCTCCCTTGCCTCCTCCTCTGTAAGGCTTGTGTACTGCAGTTCCAACATCTTCCCATTTTCAATGGGTAGACTGTGGCCAGTATAGGAGGAGGGATTCGCTGGCATAAAGCAGCCACTGTAGCTCTGGGCTTGTGCAGTGCCATGGCTGCCCTTCAGAACATGGCCAGCCCAGAGCAAGGAAGATGTTGCAGTTACTTGGGATCCATAAGGTGAGGGGACATGTGACTAGTGGAGAAGACAGTCAGAAGGCCTAGAAGCTAAGCTGGGTTCACTACCAAGGCAAGTTCCTTCACCTCTCCAAGCCTGTTTCTATACCTGAAAAATGCTGGGATAATGCTTCTGAGATGGAAGCAGTTGAGGAAGATGTATAATGGGTGCCAGGCACAGTGCTTGCACTCTGCTAAGTGTCCTCGAAGCCAACTCTTGTTACATTACCGTCACTATTCTTGTTAGGATGGCAGAACCTGAACTGCTATGGCCACCAGAAGGCTGCTATAGCATGCCTATAATCTTACTACTTGAGACTGAGGTAGGAGGATTGCCATGAGTTCAAGGCCAGCCTCGCCCACATTGTGAGTTCAAGATCAGCTTGAGCTATAGATTGAAAACAAGCCAGTATGCTGGCATATACCTTCAGCTTCAAGAAGGTCAAGATTTCAAGACTGTTCTCATGTATAGAGCAAATTTGAAGCTGGCCTAGGTTATTTTACACTATGTCTCTAAAAAAAAAAAAAAAAAAAAAAAAAGAACCAAAAAAGCTTCACCTGTTAAGTTACATGATTCAAGACAAGCTATGGCACCTATCTCTGAGCCTCAGTTTCCTCTTAGTGCTAAAGCTGAGAATATAAGTGAGTGATATCACTTTTTTGGAGAACCTCAGTGGGAGTATTCATGTAGACACTGTAGTCACCATATCAGTTAACTCTTAAGAGTCAATGAAATCAGCCGGGCGGTGGTGGTGCACGCCTTTAATCCCAGCACTTGGGAGGCAGAGCCAGGCGGATCTCTGTGAGTTCGAGGCCAGCCTGGGCTACCAAGTGAGTTCCAGGAAAGGCGTAAAGCTACACAGAGAAACCCTGTCTCGAAAAACCAAAAAAAAAAAAAAAAAAGTCAATGGAATCAGTTGTTTAAAATGGTAAATTCTAGCCGGGCGGTGATGGCGCACACCTTTAATCCCAGCACTCAGGAGGCAGAGCCAGGCCAATCTCTGAGTTCAAGGCCAGCCTGGTCTACAGAGCAAGATCCAGGACAGCCACCAAAGCTACACAGAGAAACCCTGTCTCAAGAAAAGAAAAAAGGAAAAAAAAAAATTTTTTTTTTTGAAACAAGATCTTACAATATACTTCTTCCAGGCTGGACTTCATATATAGACTAGGTCAGCCTCAAACTCTGGACAGTCCTTCTGCCTCTGCCTCCTGACTATGGGGATGACACTCAGGTGCCACCATGCTGATGAAATGTTTGACTTTATATAGAAATTGTAAGCTTCTTACTCATGTTCACATGTCATTGTTACAGTCTCTCTTTTTTAAAATTATTTTAAAATTAAAATAAACTTGGGTCTTGCTGTGTACTCCAAGGAAGCCTCAATCTTCCTGCCTCAGCCTCCTGAGTACTAGGACTACAGGAGTTCAGCACAACACTTAGCGTCATGTACTCTCTTGCTTTTCATTTTTGTCACCCTGTAGCTCAGGCTGACCAAAAACTTAAACTTGTGCTGCAGCTTTCAAGTGCTAGGATTACAGGCATGAACCTCTTCACCCAGCACTTTCTCTCTTTTAAGATTGTCTGTGTGAGAGTATGCCTTATGTATGTGGATGCTCATGGAGGCCAGGAGAAGGTGTCGGATCCCCTGGAACTGGAATTACAGGTGATTGAGAGTAGCCTGATGAATATGTTGAGAACTGAACTAAGATCCAGAAAGACAGCAAATGCTAACTAAGCCCCACTCAGCACCTTAATTAAAATGTGTAATTTAGTTGAAAATCCACAGGTATAAGTAAGTTTGAAAAGAAAGATGAGTGATGCGTGTACAGCATAGAGGGTGGGACAGTTAAGTACCAGAGTGTACAGACTGATTTTAGAGGAAAGAGAAGGCAGCCAGCGAGTTGAAAATGATGCTGGATAAAAGAGTGTCACTTGGCAGTGTGTATTAATGCTTCAACCTTGTTTTTGATTTTGATTTTGATTTTATGTGTATTTTGCCTATGTGTATATATGTGCACCATGTGCATGCCTGGTACCTAAGGAGGTCAGAAAAAGGGCATCAGATCCCCTGGAACTAGAATTAGGGGTGATTGTGAACCACCATGTGGGTGCTGGGAATTAAACCCAGGTCTTCTGCAAGAGCAACCAGTGTTCCCACTAAGCCATCTCTCCAGCCCTTAACCCTAGTTTTAAATGTTACATGCAGTGAGATAAAGGTTTCAAAACATTGGAAAACTGTTAGGGAATTATTCTCCTCCAAAGTAGTATATTTTAAAATGTATACTTCTACCACAATGTAGGTGGGGGTTTCTGTCCCACAAGTCCACTCCCAAATAACCACTCAGAGACTTATTAACTATAAATGCTCAGCCAATAGCTTAGGCTTGTTACTAACAAGTTCTTTTAAATTGACTCATATTTCTTAACTACACTTTAACACATGGCAGTCTGTTTTTTAGCATAGCCGTTTTATCTCTTGCTTTCTCTGCATCTGGCTGGTGACTCCACCCTACTTCCTAGTATTCTCTCAGTCTGGCTCTCCTGCCTAACCTCTTCCTGCGTAGCTGTTGGCCAATTGGCTCTTTTATTAAACCAATGAATGTAATACATATTCACAGTATGTAGGAGTCCAGCTCTGACCTGTCGAAGGGTTCTTGGGGGGAGAAGAGAGGAATGAGGAAGTATTAGATAGAAATATAGACATAGCCAGAGAGAAAGACGAGACACAGGATAGCTTTGGGAGGGCCCTGGGTCAATACCCAGCTGCCTCAAGGTTTATTCTAATGGGCTTTTCATACACTGCCGAGGGGAGAGGCAAAAGACCTTCCTTTTCAAGATCAAAGCACAATGTGCAGCCAAGTGTAGACCCTTCAAAACACCTGGTAACCACACCCCTACCCAAATCATCCTATTATGCAGCCCTGCTGAGTAAAGCAAACTCCGATTTTGACCTTGAGTAAGGGCTTACTAGGGAGCCTTTGTGGGCCCCTACAACAGTGTACAAAAGGATTATTCCACAGCACCTCACTGGCTTATCTCTGCCTGTGAGCTTCACAAAGTTTTCTTTTGTTCCTCCTCAACTCCATTCTGTCCCTGGATATCTGAGCAGGTGAGAACCCAGAATATGCCCACAAATGGACATGGGACGTAAGCTAGACAGAAAAAAAGGCACCAAAGAAAAGATGAGCATATTGCCTGATTTAGGCCCAGGTGAGAGTGAAGGATTACTAGAAATAGGTGATGAGGAAAAAAGAGAGAGAATGCTAAGACAGACAGAAGGGGCAGAGTGGCTTGCCTGGCCTTGTGTGGATGGGGTGCTCTACTTCTGCGTGTTGCCAGAGTATTAAGACTTCACTCTGGGAATAAGTGGTTCATAGATAGGTGGAGGAGAGAGAAGCCAAAGAAAAGGCCAGCAATATGGCTTAGTGAGTAAAAATGCTTGCCACTGAGTCTGATGGCCTGAGTTCAGTCTCTGAAGGAGAAAACCAACCCTTGAACTGCCCTCTGACCCCATGCACACATTCACCACATGTAAGTAAATGTGAGGGGGAAATGACATGACAAAGAAGCCAGCATAGGGGCTGAAGAGATGACTCAACAAGTAAAGGGCTTGCCATCCAGTCATGAGGACCTCAGCTCGATTTCCAGAACCCATGTAAAGCTGGTAGTGCTTGTCTGAAATCCCAGTACTCCTGTGGTGAGATAGGAGGCAGACACAGGAAAATGTTGGAAGATTGAAGAGCAGCTAGCTTGGTGTGACCAGTGAGAGACCAGCTCTCTCTGAATCTGAGGTTGCCCTCTGATTCTCATACACATACCTACATTCAAGCACAGGAACATGTGCATACACATGTGTCTACATACACACACACACACACACACACACACACACACACACACACACACCAGCACAATTGGAAAGACAATCTACTTGTCTACTGAAATTAGCTAGGATTAAAAATAGAATAGCATTTAGAGTAAGACAAGACAGAAGGTACAGTCCTTGAAGAGTACAGCCAAGTAACCCTGGAATGAATAGGCAAGAGTAACAGGGCATATAGTAAGTGATTTGTCTGATGACAGGGAAAGAGAGAGGAAGTATAGAGAGGAGGAAGGATGCACAGGATGTAGCAGGGATGACACTAAGCCCTGTGAGTGATGGGAGAAAGCACAGCCTGGCTTGGAGGGAAAACTAGCCTCCATAGATACCAGGTTTCTGTGAGAACAGAGCATGAAAGAATGTTCAGAGGCAGATGGATCTCTGTGAGTTTGAGGCCAGTCTCTATAGTGAGTTCAGGCCACCCATGACTACATTGTGAAACCCTGCCTAAAAATTTTTTAATTGCAAAAAGAACTGTGCCATGATACAAGAATATTTATGATTTCATTAGTTACCATCCAAATTCTTAATGTAGTACACAGCTTTCATAATTAAAGGAATGTAATGTTCCCATGAGAAGAAGTAAAAATAAAGGTGTACCTTGTTTTTTCCACTTGAAATTTACAGCCCTCTGAGCTCTAACTTTATGCCTTTTGGACCTGTGAACTCTAAATAAAGAATTTCTTTTGGTGGGTAGAGGGCAGGAGGGGCGAGGAACCTATGGGCAGGTAATGGGTCATTGGTGGTCATCTAGCCTGTAGAGCAGAAGATCCCACTCAGAGTTCACAGCTTACGAGTGTTGTCTGTGCTTTCCACCCTCCTAAGCTTTAGTGTTCTTGAGCTAAGTGCCCCGATTTTAAGTATAAGATTGGAGGCTCTTACTTGTGCTTTTAATGAGTATACCACCTAGACACCGAATGCCTCCAGTATCTCTGAGTTCCGTAATGCCCCCAACTCGCTCTTCACAGATCAGCCTCTTCTGAACTTTTTATAGAAATAAATAGTAGGTCACCTATATTTTAGTAGGTATGACATGTCACATTTGTAAAAAATTTTCTTGCACTGTCCCAGGGCACGATTTCCTTTGACAAAATTCTATTTGAGTATGCCTCCTATTTTTAGTCTCCATTAGAGATCTTCTTTCAGCCAAGCCACAGTGACTTTCTAGCCCAGTCCGATTACTCTCTCACTGCCATTATGGTGATTGGCTGCTGAATTTAAAATTGTGTGTTTTGTTGGGAAAGTACTAGAGAAAGAAGCCGTCTTCAGGCTCTACTGACAAGACCCCAGCAGCCTAGGTGAAGCCCAGTGTGAACAGTCCAGGGCATAAGCTTCCTGCCATAGATCTCGTTACTCTATGGCGCCAACACCAGGCAGGCTTCTTAAGTCAGAATTTAATTTGAAAAGCAACCAAGAAGTTGAATTCTCTCATTTCCTAAACAGAATGGTGATCTGCGGGAGAACACTGGAGTTTGGGTCTCCTTTGTGCCGCTCACTTGTCCTTACGATCTCAACAAGTAACTTACTACTTTTATTCTGGGCCTTACTGAAAAGTGGGCAGAGTGAAGGCGCACCAGCTGCTTTTGGGACTCGTGGGCGGGACAATACATGACAGGAATGTGTGCTGAACTACATAGTGCTGTGAGCAGAGAAGGCATTGGCGATGCAGCGAATTGAGGGAAAGCTGGGATGTGAGCGCAGATGCCCATCTGTCTCAGGAAGCGCCCTGCTCACTGCCTCACACAGCCTTTCCTTCCTTCTGAAATGAAGATTGAGTCACCTGTGAATGAAATTTCTCACCTGTTTTTCTTTGCACCATTGGTGTGGTGACAGACACCTATAGTCGCAGCACCCAGGAAAGTAAGGCAGGAGAATCTCTACAAGTTCAAGATCAGCCTGGGCTGCATAGCAATTGGTTACCAGGCCAGCCAAGGCTATATATATATAAAACCATAGCTGGCTGGGGGAGGGTATGACTATGCAAGTGCATCAGCACACGCTTTTCCAAAGGAGACAAAACCTGTCACAAAAGGTGGCATCTGTCATTTTAAAACAAGTGCTCTGTGCTCCGTGAGGTAGTGTGGGTCTGTGGAACACCTGCCTCTTGGGGTATAGAGGAGATGTGTGTGCACTGTCTGCAGCACAGATAGAAGACAGGCCCTGAGGAAAGGATGGCTTTCCTTATTCTTCCTACGGTGCGGACTTCCTGATACAAAGAACAGATGGTCAGGCCAGAGCCCAGCACCTGAGAGGAGGGGTCAGTGCTGAGACCGTAGGGAGTCTCACAGGAGCCCTGCAGAGGTAATTGTCAGAAGCAGATATCTGGAAACTCAGTCTAATGAAGGAGGTGGCTCATGCCTTGTAGAAGGCAGAGTGTGTCTTATGTGGTTACTTTTATGTGGGGTCTGAAACTGTACTGTGGTCCATTACATCCAAAAAATGACTTCTAAGGCACTTTATTTTTTATTTTTGTTTTTCTGAGACAGGGTCCCCTTGCTATGTAGCCCTGGTGGGCCAGGTCCTCACTATGTAGGCCAGTCTCAAACTCAGAATGATCCTCCTGCCTCAGCCTCATGAGTACTGGGATTACAGGTGTGTACCACTACACCCAACATGTTTTAAAAGCAACCATTCATATTAAAAGTATTTTATATGCCTTCTTTCATAACTACCACAGGTCTGTTTTAATTCCTAACGTCATTGGATTGTACTTTATTTGACTAGGTTCCTCTGAGTTATATGCAACCTGCTTTACTTTTGTAGGTATTAAAACCAGGCAGAAGTGTCTTGTTCCGTGACTATGGGCTGCATGACCATGCCATGCTTAGGTTTAAAGCTGGAAGCAAACTTGGAGAAAATTTTTATGTCAGACAAGATGGAACCAGATCCTATTTTTTTACTGATGGTAAGAGGAATGGAGTATCTCCTTAGTGTTTCATTCTCTGTCTCTGCTCATTTGACTGTCAACAGTGGGGTCCTGCTTGGGCAGCTATGTGGCCATGCTAACACAAGTCCCAAGTTCTTAGAATAAGCCCTGATGTACACCGCTTTCCCAGTACTTGCTGAGACATAGACCCCTAGTGAGTGAGCCTGGGAGAATAGACAGGCCTCAGACATGTCACATGGTGACTGAGCTTACTTTCCCAGACCAAAGGCAAAAATCCTTCTTGAATAAAAGTGATTGGATCTGTTTTCAAATAGACAAATTTGCTATCAAAGAATACTGAGAATGTAGCTCAGTTGGTAGAGTGCTGACCTAGCATGGGTCAGATTCTGGGTTCAGTCGCCCGCACTGCGTAAACTGGGGTGGTCACATACAAGTCTTAGACCCAGCAATCTAGAGGCAGAAGCAGGACGATCAAGAGTTAAAAGTCCAGCTGGAGAAATGATTCAGCAGTTCAGAGCACTTGTACTTGCTGAGAACTGGTTCTGTTCCCCACACCCACATGGTGGCTCAACCATGTAAGTCTAGTTCCTGGGGATGAGGACCAAACACCTGCTCTGACCCGTGTGGACACCAGGTGTGCACATGGTGCACATACTTCATGCAGGCAAACACTCATACACAGAAAATAAACAGTAGTTCAAGGTCCTTCTCACCCTCAGCTAGTTCCTGGGCTACATGAGATCCTGTCTCGATAAGTGGTTGTAACTGGGAGGATGGCAGAGTAAAGTCTGCTGCAGCCCCCCAGCAGCCACGTGAAAAGCCAGGTGTGGTGGCCTATCCCTGTAATCCTGATGCTGGGAAGGCGAGAGAGTAAAAATCCCTAGAGCCTGCTATTCAGCTGGTTTTGTTGGAAATGCCAGGTTGGTGAGAAACCTTGTCTCAAAAAGTGTGGTAGACAAGGACAGCCAGGGCTATATAGGAGTGAACCTGTCTCAGGGGGAGAAAAAAAAAGGGCAAGGTGGAAGGCTGGAGAGATGGCTCAGTGGTTAAGGGCACTGTTGGCTCTTCCGGAGGACCTGGGTTTGAATCCCAGCAGCCACATAGCAGCTCACAAATGAGGTCTGTAACTTCTTTCCAGAGGCTCTTTGGACCTCTGTGGGCACGAGGCATGCATGTGATGCAAATGCAGACAGACGGTCCGTGAACATAAATAAAAACATACATTTTTTTTACAGTGGAGAATATAATAGAAGAAACATTGACCTCTAGCCTCTTTGTATGTGTGTGTGCTATTGCACACAGATGCACATACACATGAACACATGACATATGCCACATCAAGATAATAATAGAAAATACTTTAAAAGGCCTTTTGGATCAGTAAATGCCGAATATCTTTTCAATTTTTAAAAAGATAAAGATCCTTTATCTTTTTCTAGCTCTGGGTTTTGAGGGCTTTGCTTGTTTTGGAATGCTAAGGCTTGAACCCAGAGCTTCAAGCATGCTAGGTGAGTGTTTTGCCCTCAGCTGTATGCCTAGTTCTTTTACTTTTTGGTTTTAGGGTTAGGGTGTTTGTTTGTTTTTAAGTTTTTTTATTTTTATTTTATATGTATATGTGTTGCCTGTATTGTGAGTATGTGCACCATGAATGTGCCTGGGGTGTATGGAGGTCAGAAGCGGGTGTCATCCCCTGGGCCTGAAGTCATGGATAGTTGTGAGCCACCACAGAAACCAAACCTGAGTCTTCTGCAAGAACAACAGGCACTCTTAACTGCTGAACCCTCTCTCTAGCTCCATATTTTTTAGGTTTTTGAAACAAAATCTCAGTCTGTAGCCCAGGCTGTCCTTAACCTTACAGCAGTTCTGTCTTTGCTTCATAGATATATGCCACCCAACTTACATTTCATTTCTTGAAATACTGTTTTAGATATTAAACGAAAAAATGAGTGTTTACAGTTAAATATCTAGTGTCAGGTGAAAATGAAGACGACTTTAAGGTTTCTGACATGGCCGCATCTGGATAAACCCATAGAGGTCATCAGGAAGCCCAGTGGTATCTGCACAGTGCTCCAGAGCACAGCCTGTGCAGTAATGCCCTGAGGAGGACTGCATGTGTGCTCTTGGTTCTACTTACTTACTTCATTTGTCTGTGTGATGTTTTGCTGGGGTGAATTTATCCTCAGGCTGTCACACTACCAGGTGATCCCCCCAATTCTGGGCACAGATATCCTTCCTTTCTGTAAACAAGTTGAGTGTGTGCAGTCTTCTCCATAGCTAGCCTGGGCATTGTTTCTTTCCAGTCAGACTTTTGTATGTGCTGACACATGGACAAGCCAAGGTAGGTACACCTTTGTTGCTGCTTTAATTGGAGGTTTCTGCTCGGGTCTCAAGACCATGAGAAGTAGGAATGTGTTTGGGATTTTTTTTGTTTTTGTTTTTTGGTTTTTCGAGACAGGGTTTCTCTGTGTGGCTTTGCACCTTTCCTGGATCTCACTCTGTAGCCTAGGTTGGCCTTGAACTCACAGAGATCCGCCCGCCTCTGCCTCCCAAGTGCTAGGATTAAAGGCGTGCGCCACCACGGCCTGGCTAGGAATGTGTTTGTTTTTAAAACAGAAAGAGCAAATGAGTGAAGGGAGAGAAAGAAAGCCTGGCCTGTTAGCACAGGCCTGTATACCCAGCACTGGGAAGCTGGGGCAGAAGCATTAAAAATCTCAGGCCAGCCGGAGATATAAAGTACAATCTTGTCTCAAGAGGGGAAAAATCAAATAAGAAAAGTCTAAAAACAAATGAAAAAGTTTAGCATTGAAGTTTTTATTACAGAAAAAAACCAAAACCTCCGTAGCCCATCTCAGTCCTCACCCCTCAGAGCTCACCACTGCTTGCCTTCTAGAATTCCTGGCGCAGCTCTTTGTGGACGCAGGTTATGAAGAAGTGGCGAATGAGTATGTGTTTCGAGAAACAGTGAATAAAAAGGAAGGCCTGTTTGTGCCACGAGTTTTTCTTCAGAGCAAGTTCCGGAAGCCTCCACGGGACCCAGACCCCACCCCTGACTCTGCTTCACTTGGAAGAGAAGTGTTTTAAACTAACATAGATTTTTGTATTCTGAATTTTTAAAATTACATGTGTAATTTTTGTATTAAAAACAAGTGGGGACTAGGGAGATGGCTTAGCAGTTAAAGTGTTAGCTGTGCAAGCCTGACCACCCAAGTGTGACCCCAGGAATCTGTCTAGGAAAACAAAGATGGGGGCTGGAGAGATGACTCAGTGGTCAAGAGCATTGGCTGCTCTTGCAGATCACCTGGGTTCGATTCCCAACACCCACATGGCAGCTTACAGCCATCTGTAACTCCAGTCCCAGGGGATCGAAAGGAATGGAATGCCCTGTTCTGGCCTCTTCAGGTGGTACAGAGATATACATGCAGGCAAAACACCCAAATTTAAAAAAAATCCAGGTTTGGCAGTTTGAATCCATAATCCCAGCACTCCTACCTCAAGAGAAGCAGAGTAAGAATCATCTGGAAGCTCCAGGACCAGCTAGCCAGGAGTGTGGCAGAAAGGAGACAAGAGACCTGACCTCAGAAAGGTGGAGGGTGAAAACGACTCCTGGGACTTGTTCTCTGCCCTCCACATGTGCACAAATGGATAAATGAACAGAGAGTGTATGTATGTGCACATAGAAAAACGAAAATGTAAGTCGGTCCTGAAAGTCAAGTTCTGTGGTTTACCTGTGTCGTACAATTCTCTTTCCACAAAGGAAAGCCAGGAGCCAAGCGTGCAGATACACAAAACCGGTGTGCAAATCAAGCATTTGATAATAAATACATTAAAGACAGTTCTTTAATCTTACCATTTATTAAAGAAAAAAGCAAATTTATATACTAATCAGGTGGGTATGCTTGTTTATTTTTACATAAAAAATTAAATCTTGAGCAGTGGCGCATGCCTTTAATCCCAGCATTCAGGAGGCAGAGGCAGATGGATCTCTGAGTTCAAGGCCGGCATGGTCTACAAAGAGAGTTCCAGAACAGCCAGGATTACAGAGAAACCCTGTCTTGACAACCCCCCCCCCCCCAAAAAAAAAAGAAAAAGAAGCAAAAGTCAGCAACTTACTTTTTTTTTTGTTTGGGGGTGTGTGAGTGTGATGTATGTGTGTGTGTGTGTGTGTGTGATGTGTGTATATATGTGTGTGTGTGTGTGTGTGTGTGTGTATGTGTGTGTATGATGTGTATATATGTGTGTGTATGATGTGTATATATGTGTGTGTGCTGTATGTGTGTGTGTGCTGTATGTGTGTGTGATGTATATATTTGTGTGTGATGTGTGTGTGTGTGTGCACGCTCAGGTGTGGGTGTCATCCTCTTTCACTCTCTACCTTATATCCTAGAAACAGTCACTTGCTGGACCAGGAGCTTGTCATCTGGCTAGGCTGGCTAGTCACTGGGCTCTCAAGACCCACCAGTCTCCTCCTCCCGGTGCTGGTGTTATAGGGTCATGTAGCCATGCCCAGCTTTCTTACATGGATGCTGAAAATTTGACCTCAAGTCCTTATGCTTCCACTTTTAAGCACTAGGCCCTTTAAATAATAAATTTTAAAATTTTTGTTTCCAGGTGTTTTGTCTGCAGGTATGTCTATACTACATTCATGCCTGGTTCCCATGGAAGCCAGAGGGTATCAGATCCCCCAGAACAGAAGTTAGACTGTTGAGTCTTGAACCACTGTATGGGTGCTGGGAATCTAACCTAGGTCCTCTGGAAAAGCAACCAGTTCTCTTAACCACTGAGCCATCTCTCCAACCCCCTTAAACAGTAATTTTAAAAATTCTCACAGTACTATTTTATTTTATTTTATTTTATTGGTTTTTCGAGACAGGGTTTTCCATATAGCTTTGGTGCCTGTCCTGGATCTCTCTCTGTAGACCAGGCTGGCCTTGAACTCAGAGATCCGCCTGGTTCTGCCTCCTGAGTGCTGGGATTAAAGGTATGTGCCACCGCCTCCCGGCACAATTTTAAAGATATCC